GCGTCAGAATGTTTGTTTAAGACAGTGACAGCAACAATTTTATTCCTCAAACAACATTTATTTGACTATTAAAAAATCTGCCCGTAGTTGATACTCTATAATAGAATTACATCAATTGACGATTGGCTTGACGTTTTAAAAATAACCTTGTTATATGTAGTTACTAATAATACCTGACAAATCTTCATCACTGATAAAAATGATTACTTTAGCAGATTTTCTTATCTTACCTAATCTATCATCTTAGGCTAGGTCATATATAGACAATGGAATATTTATGTGATACCAGTAAACTTTAGATAATAATTATAAAACAGTTTGTTGAATGCCAAGTTCAGCACATTTCTAGTCACTAAAGTCTAAATTTAAAAAAAATGTATTTATTTATTTATTTGACTCATTAACAATTGCTTACAATGATTAAACCTTGGGTTACATAAATAACTTAAAGGCTAGTGCGAAATTCGTTTATAGGTAAACACAACATGCATTAGGTATGTGTTAACACACATAAAAATTAATATCTCAGTCCAATAAAGTGAGTTTAACGAAAATCACGATAGAACACAATAGAATAAAATCAATTAGAATTTCAAATTCAAAGCCAAATCTTTATTTCAAATAGACCAAAAAGTTCAACTTGTATGTCAGTCTGTCCTGTCGTACTGTCCTCTAGTGAAGCTATTTACTCGTTCCAAAGTGTAGACTTTTATGCAGAAGATAGAGCAAGGAACTCCATGGCTATTATTTTTTATTAGTTTCACAATTAATTTGTTTACATTATGTTAGTTGTTATGTGTTAACAATGTTACATTAATATTTGATCAAATCATTTTAAAAGTTGTTCCTCGCTATGTCCAACCGGTAACAGTTTGGGCATAACACGCATGGTTATGTAAAAAGTTATAAAGATTGCGTGTCCAGGGGAATCACTTGTCGTATCGTCCGATAACAACAGCTGTTGATTATAATGAAAGCCTGTGACGTCTGTTCGTGATCTATAAACATTTATCGACATTGTGATCACTAAAATTATGCAGACGATTATATACTACTTAAAATTACATTTAACATATTATATTAAGTAAGATCTTAATATAATATGTTAAATGCGAAAACTTATAAGTACTCTTTGACATAAAAACGACCTAACAAATCTGAATAAATTTTGCGTAGAAATAGATTGTAGTCTGGGAAGAAATAATAACTGTTTGTTCAATCCCGAAATTCTTGTTCCGGGTCTGTTTGTGATATGTATATTTGTAAATGCATCCACGACACAGCACAAAACAACAGACTAGGGCTACCTTTTAAAAAAAATAGCTCATAGATTTCACAGAAACTGGTATATAAATATAGCGAACTAGTTTTAGGTAGGTACTAATTATGAAACCACTAAACAAATAAACAGACTAATATTTTCACGTATTTCCCAGTCTATAAATAAATGCATTAATAGCATTTCTCAACAATAATTTTATTATTCTGATAGGGGTATAAAAAGTTTGGTAGATTGACGTGTTTTTAAACAAATGACGAACGGTAGACGCGGCCAAGCTAAACTGTTCTAACTTTAAATATTAGTAATTGCTTTGACCACATGGAAATACATAATATTCAAGATATTTGTAACATTTTCTTTTGTTTTCCCCGTAAGTAAAGTAAACGCAAGCGTGAATATCGAACACGTAGTCCCAGTTCAAGAATTATTTAATCTGCCTATAGATTTGTGAGCTTTTAAATGTCTCTAAAAATCTGTTTGAAGTCGTGTATAATATTTGTATTCTAAATTCAAAATATCGGACTATTTTCCGTATAAAAAAGTGTATGATCCAACAGAACTGTATGATGTGAACCACGGAATAGAGAATATCTGTTTTGTGATGTGAACCGAACATAGCTTTTTTTTTTAATTTAGAGTGCGAAAATCATCTACTCCCTTAATGGGAGAGAGAGATGGAGTTTGAAACTCTTACTGACTAAAAACCACCTAGTTCCTTCTCCTACTCCGGTTCGGGACATGATTGCGCTTACACCCGACCCCAACTGAACGTTGGGCCTAGTGAGCTCCATTTGTAACTGTTTGGGTATAGATCGAGGATATCGAAAACAGTTGAGAACCTAAAACAAGCTCGTACTCGTATGTGAGATCATAGTTCCCTTTTTTAGATATATCTTTTTATGGATCGGGAAGGGATAGAGGAAAGGGCGGGTGTGGGCCTCCGGTAACCTCACTCACACGGCGAAACACAACGCTGTGGTTGTTTCACGCCGGTATTCTGTGAGACCGTGGTAACACTCCGGTCGAGCCGACCCATTCGTGCCGAAGCTTAATTGGCTCTCCCACACTTAAATATCTTACGAAATAATCTATCAAGTCCATCAAGATTGTATTAATATGACATCATGCATCACAAACTTAGCGAAAATACTTTTCCAAAATTATTTTTATTGTTCATTTTATGAGCTTCATGTGCTCAGACGTGGGACGGGCATGCCTTTATTGCATTGTCATTAGGCATTTACATCTAAATTGGCACGGTCTTCCAACAGTTTTATATTCTGCAGTTATTGTTCTCTTTGAGTTATAATCCTGTCTGTCTGTTTGCGCCTTTGTTGTTTAATTACCGATCTAATAATGGATGTTGTTGTTGAGGATACGTAATCTGGTGTAACTAGTATTATGTAAGCTTCGTAATTGATTACCATAAACTTTTTTTTATTGTAACTTTCAAAGTTACTAACTTATCAGGAACTTCAGAATGCTTTTGAGTTTTCGCATAATTCCTCATATCCATGTTACTGATTTGTTTTTACTTCAGTACCGGATAACTACTTATGAAAACTTCATTTCATTGTAGAAAAATTGTGATGTTCGAACGAGAAATACCAGCAACCAATTAAAATAGACCTATTATGGCTATCTACATACCTATGTATTAAATAAGAAAGTAGGTATTAAAGAAGAAGAAACTATTTCATAGAATAATTGATATCTGTCAGTTTCGTTTGTTTAACAATCTTAAGTATCCACTTGGGTCTGATTCATTTTATAGCCTACGGAAATAAACTAATAAAAATAAATAATAAAATATTGAAAGCACGTCGTTTTAAATACCAGACAATTTGATAGACAGTTTGGCCCAAGTAACCTTCTTGGGTTGAACATTCCATCCGGCCTTACACAGTTTTATTATTATTCTTGTTTGATTGCAAAATAAGTTTCCATTTCATTTACGTTTCAAAGATTCCTAATTCAAAATTTGCTTTTTTTCTAGAGTTGTGAATAATTACCTTAATAATCGACTAAAGTAGGCATGGAACTCGTCACATACATAAAAAGAACTAGCATAATGCATAACAATATACTTACATATTCATCTCCTTTTATATTAAATAAACTAATTTTGAACTTAACTTGCTCGTGATAAGAATAATACATTATAATAGCAATTAAATGTACTTGAATTGAGGTCAGTAGTTGGTTCGTGGGATTCATACAAATAAGAAAATATTTCATGGAGTGACTTGGCAAGTCCTTGATTATCTCGTTTTGAGTTCGCTTCTACCCTAACCCATCCCCCTGAACCATTCAGTAAAGATTTCGTGAGCCAAGCCAAACACGAGAACTCCGCATAATAAAAAATAACTTACCTACACAAAAACATAGTATCGCTAGCCAAAATGGTGGTTGATAAATAAAAAATCCCCTACTGGCGCTGCCCCAAAAACAAGGGCGTAAAGTATGCACAGTGGGGGTTATCGAGCCAGTTGTGGGTGGTAGGGGGAAGCAATGACGTCACTACTTCGACCCGCCAGACTGCCGCCGAAACCGTCGTGCCAGTGTTGTTCCAGCCTTGATCAATCGCGGCCACAGAGCCAACACTCCTTCCCTGGCTGAATGGGTTAATACCTTAGTCAGTGAATGAAAGTTCTCGCGGCATTTATGACAGTTTGCAATAAAATGAATTAGTAAATTATTTCCTAATAAAATTACCGGTCGTTTCGTCTTGTAGTTTGTATCTAAAATGTTTGTAAGTGTGAAGACGATTTTTTTGTTTTATTTAACTATTTTTGGAAGCTTTGCCTAAGGTGAGCGTCGTCTGTAGTATGTTTTAGTTTTCTATGGTTTGTTTTAGATGCTTTTAGTATTAAAAAGTAAAATGCTAGTGGTTGGTAGTATCATCTCATTTGCTGTAAACTCACATACCTACATACCTCGAGTAAACTTTACAAGTTTTTCTATGTATATTTGTTTTTTATACTCACATTTTATTTATAATTTGTATTTTAATGGAAATGATTTCAATATTTTATTTTTCACAATTTTTCGTTATTTGTATTTATGTTACCTCATTAAATTGGCTAAATTCGAATTGGCAAAATTGTTCTTAAAAAAATTGCTCGTCTAAATTCTAAATTTAAAAATGTTTTTGAACGAGATGACACTAACATAATACAAATCCACATTAACAGATAACAGCATGAACTAATTGTTTTATTTTTTAGATTTTGTGCCGACATTTCTTTGTGTACAGTCAGCCACACGATGATATAGTGATGTAACTATAAATATTTAAATAATTACTCTAATCCCTATCGATTATGTAAAAATCGTCTACATGAAATCTTTAAACGAAATATGAAATAAAAAGCGTTTCAGATGTTTTCCATTTATTTCTGTAACGTGTACTTATCGCTTTGTTCCTTTAATGCAGAAAAGGTTACAAATTAATATAAAAAGTTCTACTGCTGCAAAAGCAACTGCAGCTAAATTCTGATTTTTTTTGGTGTCTGGTGGTGAGTATTTATAAACCACTGTTTTCTCCTTCTTGCTAAATGTAACGGAAAGGTGTTTAACAGAGGAAGAGTTTTAAAGGAACTCAATTCCAGTGGTGTCTTTTTTAGAGCAATTATTTAAATACAATGTGGCATTCTGTACCCTAGCCTCCCAGCATGTCTGTCTGATTTCGTCTGTTTGTGTCTCGCATTGCATGCAGTCGGCACACCTCACCAACGCCAAATGACAAACTACAAGCCCTTGGTAAGACACCCTGTATTTATTTTTATTTTTTTATTGTCTATGTGCTTTTCACCTGTGTGTGGTCTATGATTCTTGTTAAAATTCATGTCGTGTTACTGTCTTAAAATGTTTTGAATGTGTGTGAATTATAATGGTTTTATAAAAAAATCTGTAGTCTTTGGAAAAAAATGATTTTGTCAAGACTTGAGTCGACATTGATTAAAACTTTTGACATCCTCTATACAGATTTAGTAGAACATAAATATAATTATGTAAAATGAATGATGAGTTCAGAATTAGTAACAGATTACACTTTTCAGTTTCTAATGTAATTTATAAATCAAGCATTATTCATACTGGTTTAAAAACTTGGGCAGAGCAAAATGATAGATTTCGTGATTTTTTTGGAATAATATAGATGTTTTACCAAAAAGGGTGTTAATATAAAACTGTTTCCTACAAAAAGGACTAAGTCGTAGCTATGAATCCTTTTACATTTTAATCTGAAAACTACCTAAATCTTGTAGTAACCTACTTAGGCTTTAAAGGTTTTAGGTCACCTAATATTACGTCTGTAGCTCCTATAGGCCGTGGTGAAAACTGCATGATTGGTGCAAAGCGGTCCTGGGCATGCGCGCGCCGGTGGAGTCTAGTGCCAAAATATTTGCACTACGTATGGATTGTTGGTTCAACTATAACTGACATTTTTATTCAAGTGTACTTTTAGAATAATGTTTTGCAATATTAATTTTGCCTGCTGCGGCGTCAAATAAATTTTCATTCGTTTAATTGTTATGCCGAGTCTTCTACTTTTTCAGAACTGACAGCGATGTCGCGACAGATAAAGAATGATTATATGTATGTGCAGCTTTTTTAACCCTTTTGAAGACTCAAAAGCACGAAGTTCTGTTAACGCTTTAACTTCTTGCAACAAGAAAGAAACAATCGATTATATTTTTTTCTAGTAAGTCTGTTCTGTTTCCAAGACACGTTTTATGCGAAAGCCTGCTATAGGAGTTTCCTGTAACAGAGAAAATTGTTAGTTCATTTTCTCAACGTAATTTGGTTAGGAAATATAATAATTACAACAAAGTTGGGACTTAAAGCGGAAGTCTAACAATTTAAATATACGTAAATTAAGTTTTGCCTAAATGAATAAACTGTTTCATAGTATTACATTGTACCTTCCTTTATTAAAAAAATAAAAAGTAAAATAAAAATAGTTTAGCGACCGGATGATTGTTCGATATTCGAATTTGAAAAATTGTAATTCACTTTTTTTCTAGCGGAGATTAACCCATCATAATATACCTACGCGAGGATTTACGAGACACAACGTGTTTTCTATTGTGTCTCATATACCGGCAGACAAGACGTTAAACTTGAAATGCATTCATTAATTTATGTTATTATAAATACATAGGTACAAAAAAATGACAATAGAGAATGAAGATTGCGGTGATGTGCAGTTATTTTGCGTAATTCAGTATGATGACGATATCTCTCGTTCATCCAGACTTTAGCAATGACGCAATATTTAATATTCGTGTGACATATTCTTTTCTTCGATTATCTGATAGTACTTGGGAGTTTAGTAGATACATTTTCTAAATATGTAAGGCTATATTAATACCGATTATAGAGAATCTCAATATTAAATCGGTTTTTTATATTGATATTTCTAATAATTATAGTTTCAGTTCTGTTAGAACACATCATACAATTTGAAAACCTATAATAGAATAACGAATAAAAATAATCGAGATGGCGGATCCAAGTGCAACGATGGACCGTGATCTGGCTTAAAGCAGGAAATGGAACGAAGTTTATTAGTAAAAGTCTGACACTCCCTTTCACTCACCTGGAGCGGAAGAAACCATTGATGTTGATGATTTTCCACATTAAAAACGATCGTTTAAAAGTAGAATTACCCACAAAATCTACACCTCTATTTACAGGACAGACACAGATAGGGTTACCAACACATATAATCTATACTTATATTATAAAGAGGCAAAATTTGTAAGTTTGTAAGTATGTATATAGGTTAATCTTTGGAACCGCTGTTTGGTTTTCCAAAATTCTTTCACTGATAGTAGCTACAATGATCCTGCAGTAGGTGCGCGAGAGTAGCTAGTGTTTAATATAACCATAAAATTGACACATAAATGTTACCTGTAATAAAAGAGTAAGATGCAGTAAACGTCGGTTTAACTGTTTGTTAAAAAGTTGCAGTACTATAAATTATAAAGTGGTGGAACCGATCCAAAAATGTCAAGGTTGGTAGCCTTGAACTGCAACAATATACTGGTGGCGATGTTACAAAATGTTTAGTAAATAGCGTTTCAGCTGTCTACTGACGTACGACGGATTTGAATATGTATTTATTATTATAAAGGAAACTTAAAAATAAGTTAGGTGTTACGTATAAATATCAGCAATGTTAAATACAGTCAATAATTTGTTTTTCCCAATAAGCAGTTGTCAACGTCAACTACTTAGTCGTTGTCTAACAAATACTTTGCATGCCGTAAGGCGAAATGTATTGAGACAATATAAATTAACACGTCACCATATCTGTAACATACATTTTCTGCAAATAAATTATTTCTATTTCTCAATTTTTACTGCGCAAATTCTTGCCAAGTGTGGAAAACAAAATTTCACTTCTTCAACTGATGCTACAAACTTGCATCAGAGGATTAGGAGTTTTATTCTTCCTGCCGTACTTTTAAGCTATGTTCTCTAAGTTCATGACTGAAATTCCTCTTAGTTAAGTGCTAACAGTCCCCTTCTACTTCTTCCAGGGCTCAGCAGATTCAAACTATTCCCAACCATCGTCGGAGCTGTCGCTTGACGAAGACAAGGAGGCGCTGCGCCGCGAGAAGGAAGCGCAGGCTATCAAACAGCTGGACAAGGCACGGGTCAGTAGCTCTACAATATCCATTGAGGATAGAAGAATAATCTGAAAATGTTTTCAAAGCATTCATTTGAATTAATCCTTAAGCAGGCTTATTTGTAATGTATAAGTTAAACTGTCCGAGAATATATCCATCGGTAAAGCTAGGTTCTTAAATGGAGGATCTAGTTAAATTATCAATTTTAAACAGTTGCCACATAATAGTAGTTCGAGCTGAAGAGTTTACCTATTCACGAAGGTACCAGAAATAATTAAATTCAACTTCTTGTTTATCTAAAGCTGCGAAAATGGTATATTCCTTTATATTGGATAGATAATAATTAGACTAAGTAGTTTTATAAAATATCAAAGTAAGCATAAGATAATTATATATATTAATTTAAGTAAGTAAGTAATTTTATTTGTAAACATTTGATATGTAAAAGCACGATGGGATTGACATCGTCACAAAATGTGTACAAAAATCCTTCAAAATAAATGAGATTAAAAAAAAACTTCTTGTATGCTAATATTAACTTGTGTCCAATAATAGACTAAAACATACTTCATGGTAAGGACATGCGTATATGTCACTTAGTAAACTAATGACATAAATGTAGATAAGTATTATATATATCCCATTATCTAATTAGCCTCATCATCACCGTTTTTTAACTGCTGAGTATAGACTTGGTTTCATATGTGTAGTTTTGTTTCTAGAAGATTTATGCATTAATCACCACGCTTCCTTAAGGCGGATTGGCGATTTGGCGATTCCAAACAGGGGTGTCTAAATAAACTCAGAAAGAGATCACATTTTTAGTAGCCCGATTTCGAACTACTATTAACGAGAAGTGGGATTACATAAAAAAAAACCTGGAATCAAGTAAAGTTGGGCCTACGAATGTTCCAGGAGAAGCCAGTGGCGTTCGCGGTGCGCACCAATGTGTCGTACGATGGCACCGTGGACGATGACTCGCCGGTGCACGGCAGCGCAATCTCCTTCGAGGTGCGCGATTTTCTCCACATCAAGGTAAGCATCGTTCTCTTTATCATTATCATCATCAGCTAAAGACGTCCTCTTCTGGAATAAGGCTGCTCTTGAAGCCAACACGTTAAAAGACAAATCGCTACTTCCATCCATTGCTTCCCCGTGACCGTAACGATTTCGTCCGGTCACGGGGTGAGTCCGTGTTCGCCATAAGCGTTTTCCGGGCTCAACAGCTGTCAGTCCTTGGAGGTATGTGGCCTGCCCAATGTCACCTCAGCTTGGAGGTTTACGAACTACATCGATAAATTTGGTTCTCTGGCGAATTTCCACCCACCGGATATGATTGCTCTAAGCTATCTCTCTCTCCGTTGCGGTCTGAGTGATTCTTAAGTATTTCTAGAAGATCTTCATCAATCATCTATCGTCAATTCATTCATTTGGAATCGTTCTGTGATTAAAGTTTGTACTGTAAGTCTTAATAACTTATATCATTTTCAAAGAATAGCGTGGATAACTTACATATTTTTTTCTGTAGTTTGTAAATAATTCAAAAATAGGCTCATCTAACAGACAAACCGCTTCTAGTTCTTAACCGATTGTAATATTGGACCGATGCAGTTTATTCTGAAAGAATATCAATAAGCCAATACCAACGCTATTGCACAACTTTCAGGAGAAGTACGACAACAACTGGTGGATCGGGCGCCTCGTGAAGGAGGGCAGCGACGTGGGGTTCATCCCGTCGCCGGTGAAGCTGGAGGCGGTCCGGTCGGGGTTAGGGGCCAGAGGGCGCTACCCTCGACCAGCTTCCACCGCGCCGCATCAGCAACACGCGCCGCCCCTCTCAAGAGGTAGCACCCCTCCCACGCCCGGTACGTCATGCATACCTCATTCCGCACTGCACGCTACGCTGCTCTATCGACACAAAGAAGGCTGTCGGTTTATTTATCGCAATAGTTTGACATTGCCGTACGCCCTTTCTTAAATTTTACAATAAAACAATCAAATTCGAATAAAATTTAGACATTAGTCGATTATTCAGTCGATATTAAATCGATAGCCTTGAATTTGTGAAAATGCTACTCTATGGTGAAAATTGAAACACTGTATAATGTTTTAAATTTCATACCGTAGCACAATATCCCATGGTCTTATGATGAAATTGAAAGATCATTGGAGATAAAATGAGCAAGAGTGACCACCTGCCTACAGCTTTCCATGCACTGTATAAAATGACATACCTACGCGAATCAATAAAATTTAATATTATTGTAGCCTTTAAAATAAAAACATTAGAACATGCAATTTTTTTCCTGAATTGTCATTTTAATGAAAAAAAATAGCATACCTACTTTTTATTTGACTAATACCGTATAATTTTAAAATCAGAACCTAGTTTTTTTTAATGTCGATATACATATTCCCATTGAGAGCATATTCTATAAAGTCTGTTCAAAAACGTCTCTTTGAGATTTTTACCCTGATTATCAAAATACAATTGAGTTAATAAATTATAATATTTTGTAATTATTTTTATTGTATCTATTTAAATGTATGTCGTTTTAAGCAGTGTCTGTAACGTACAACGCAGTTGTTTGTCTCTCTTTATTTATATATCGTCTTGCTCTTTCTAACACTAGACTCGCTGATACAAACAATAATGGCCTTTTAACAAAATTTCTTCTAAAATTAACAAAATTAATAAAAAGCAAGACGATCCTAATTGTAGTTCGTGATTCGATGTTTCTATTGGCATTACCTAAGAAATATTTTGTAAATACTGTTATTTACTTACCAAAAAAATCTCTTAATTGCACCTCAAGGTTTATTCCTATTTTTTATTTTATTTAATTTCCTTTTATATTAATTTACACTTTTCAAAATTGAATAATATTTAAACTTCGAGAACACCTTTATTCCAAATTTAAAAATTGCCTTCTTGCACAAAATCCAATAGTTCTACAATATTGTAGTGACAAATAAATTTCGATATTATACTGTTATTTCAAATGGTATGTATAACTGCTTTGTACAAGCCATTCCATGATCACTCATCAATCGGTGGAGTTATAGAATTTCCTGGTCTATAGAGATGTACCGATTATTGACTAATAGTCGATTTAATCGACTGTCCATAATCAGTTATTAGTCAATTCGGTCGAAAAAACAAAGCAAGTATAATACCTATTAATTTTTAAGTGAGTTGTTTAAAATGTTATTTTAGGCGCGTTAATTAAGATCGAATCGACTAATCTGTTGACGTTTGAATGCGAGTGATCGGATTATTAATCGAATAGTCGGCCAGCACAATAGTCGATACATCGAATAATGTATATTCGCACTCACGTTTGCCACATTTTCAGATGTGCCATCGTTCGATCGAGGTAAGTTCACGCACTCATCGCTCGACACCAGGAAATGTCGTAAATTTTTCATCTATTTTTTTTATATTTAGATGTTACCCATGTATGTTCACATAAACGTTTGTTTTATTTTGATAAAATCCTATTTGAAGTAATTTGGACCTTATTCCTTTTGTATACGTTTTAATTATACGTGACAAAACGGCAATGACTACCGTAAAAAAACATTTATAATAAATATAAAATATGACCATGGTAAATAATATAAGACTATATTTCAAACAATGGATTTTAAACCTTATATGGTAAAGTAGTAGCTACGTTTTCGAGTCACAGTTCCATCCCACGCCCCATTACTGCATGAGTCCCCTATTTTTAATTTTTACTATTTTTAATTATTAATTAATGTTTAATATTTTTATTTAATATATCTTGGTGTTTTACAGGAACGTTTTAGCTATGTTATGTATATTTTATTATATGTAATATATTTATGGTATGGTACTTGTTCGGTTTGGGCAGAATATATGAGTTCAAAAGCTTTTTGAATGTTGTCCAAGGGTCTTGAGGCTATGTGTATAAATTATAACTGTGTTTTCGATTACATTGTAGAGGAAAATGTTAAACTTACGTTATGTTTATTGGACCTTCCTCCACACAATTAACAATATGAATATGACATAACTTAAGATTAGAAACGTAACTAGCCTCTATTGTAAAACATTGTCTACTAACGAATAAAGGTTTTATTCGTAAAAATACTCCTTCGTGCAACTGAAATCAATATCAAATTTAAAAATCGAATCGAATGTTACTTGAATTAACATGATTTTCGAATTTCTTTTCCTCTACTATGTAAACTGGGATGTGTCGAAAAATTCTTGATGTTGTCTATGTGTATCGTAGAAGATTTATATATTGGACTTTATGTTGTGTTCCTTGAATGACATATTACGTTGATACAGGCCCGAGTATTAGTTCTGTATGTAAAGAGGAAAGCATGGTAGCTTTGCATTTATTTTGAGAGCAACGTGTTAAGAAAAGTGAGTATTTTCAATATCTTTTACTTACGGTGGGAAAAGTTTATTTGCTGGGATTTAATAAGGAGTTTTGGTAATGATAGTAAGTGGGAAGGGTAGGGGGTAGCAGAAGGATAGGGTTGTGTTATAAGTGTGTGTGTCAGCGAGTGAGTGGGCTGTGTGTGCAGGAGAGGAATCTGACGGGGCGGGGCGCGGGCGCGGCGCGGGCGCCGCCGGCGGGAAGGAGAAGCGCAAGCCATTCTTCAAGAAGGCCGAGGCCAGCACTCCGTACGACGTGGTGCCCTCCATGCGCCCCGTCGTCATCGTGGGGCCCAGCCTCAAGGGCTACGAGGTCACCGACATGATGCAGAAAGCTTTATTTGATTTTCTCAAAAGACGCTTTGAAGGCAGGTGAGGGTGGTATCTTCATTACTGGACGCACCAAATTCCTATTGTAATTTAGCACAGACGACCAAGAGTCGATTTATCTATTTATTTATATATACAATTATAATAATTGGCATGCATAAACGATTACTATGACTGATACAGTTCCCAGTACCAATTTTCACAATTCTATCAGTCTAATAATTTCTAAATTAATATAAACCTACCAAAGTTCCACAAGAAGACGGCCACTGCGAGTGAGCGGGACGACACTAACGCTTTGTTCCAGCCAGTGGAGCTGCGCCTGCGCCTGTGGGCACTAACAACTAACCGTTTACCTCCCGGACTAACATTGCAGGATAATAATAACGCGCGTGATGGCCGACATATCTCTCGCGAAGCGTTCTCTACTCAACAACCCGTCGAAACGTGCCATCATGGAGCGTTCCAACTCGCGGTCCACTTGCCTCGCTGAAGTGCAGGTATGACGTGTTGCAGGATCATCATCACGAGGGTCCAGTCCGATATATCGTTGGCCAAACGAACACAAAACGCGCCTAAGAAACCGTTCGTAGAGAGGGCCGGTAACAGGAACTGTTTAGCCGAGGTCCAGGTGCGAATACTTAGTAGGTAGCTGTGGTGTTGTTGTTTGAGGCACGTGACATCTCTTGGGCGTGTTTGGAATGAGTGGATCTAGCTCGGCAGCCTCTGGCCGGAGTAGGAGATCTCGAGCACCTAGCGACTGGTAGTCTCTGGTAGTGGCCCTGCGCGTATAGCCACGTAGAGGCGCGGGATACAGGGAGCAAAATTCTAAAGTTGACAATCGAACTGTCTCAAACACACACAGTTTGCGTCCCCTGCCGGTGGACCATAACCGCGTAGTTCTCGCCAACAATACTTTCTTGCCAAAGACTCCTCTGATTAACGTCCTGCAAAACGAACAATAGTGTTTTTGATCTTCATACACTTGTAATTGTGATATTTGCCACAGTTAGTATAGTGCGTTAAAATCTTGCTTTCTCACGCTACACACAATGTTAAGCATCAGATGTATCTTTCCATTTCTCAGTTTTCTAGATTTAGTCACACTTAGTTTATAGAAGACTTTCAGTATTCGCTCGCTCGATCCAAACATGCTCATTAAGGTACTTGTAACTTAATGGTTGACTAGCGACTAACGTACAATGACAATCTCCCCAAAACTCCTTACAATAATTCTTTACAATCCTTTATTTGGTGGATAGAAGGAATCTTACCAACTCACATAGGCATCAACCTTTAGATTTTAATATTAGTAGTTTTTTTATTACTTAATATCTTCGATCTTCCTTTCCTAAATCCTATGATTGTCCATTAAAATAAACATTAGACATTAGTATACTCGTAATAGATTAATTTAGATAGAGTTAACTAAGTTTTATCTTCTATAATTTCCTATGAACTCCATTACACATTAACACGAAGACTGGACCAGAAGAAGATAATGTAAATACTAACATAACACAAATTTTTGTTAGTAGATACCCATTGTAACTAACCATAGAAACATTTATAATGATGTAGATAATATATACTTCATTTAGATACATTAACCACTTATTGTACCTACAAAATAAATCAATTCATTCCTTTGAATCCACCACAATCCCCTCCCAGTAACAACACAATATATACCATGACTTTAGAAACACAAAGACTATAATTGCATGACAATATTGACAGTGCATAGGCTGACAATTTACTAATTAATTTTGCATTGCTATATCTCTACACTTTGACGGTTATTCTACAATAGTTGGTACCGCTCGCTGATCGACATACCCCTTTCTGCACAATTTTTTCTGAATTTCATCTGTAATTTTTTTAAATGTAGTCGACATATCTACTTATATAAAATATGTTAGGTATATTTATAAAATATTATAGAGAACTTTGTCTCACAAATTAGATATTTTTGTTGTTGATCAATGGACATGTACTGTAGCATTTTTTTACCCTAAAATATCCAGTAATAAGTGTTTTGAATCAGAGAAACTACTTATTTAGGTATATACCTATATCGACATATATTTACTAATAGGCATGCCTCAAATATGAGAATTGTGGCTGTAATGAAAGAAAAGAAACGATATTTCGGTCTATCTTTATCTCTCTCATGGCCGCAATTGGGTAGTTTCTTAGGTCAAAAATAAATTAATTCGACATTTCAATACAATTAAATATTGAAAAATAACTAGGTATTCGATCGATCGATACACTAAGATTTAGATATTTTGTGGCTAATTATTAAGAAATAAGTAAGCTATTTGACGCTAAATTACTATGAGATCATAGCTCGGTTTTTAATACAAATTTCATAGAAAAATATCGTTTTTGACGTTTGCATAAAAGTATTGAATTTGACTGGTTCGAAACTACCGTATTGTATATGAAGAAAGAGATAGTGTTAGACCGAAAACATACGTCTTCTCTTTCACTCTATTCAAACCAAAAAGTTACTGCTTAGAAGGGTGCAGGCTTTCCAGTAGTATTTTTATGTCGATTGATTTATACTTTTACTAAGTAGTTTAAAAAATATGTAGAATATGTAGACTCCCCCTTTGTAGACACAACTAGCCAAAGTGTAGAGGTACAAAATAAATGCAAATGCTATGCTATTATATACTTTACCTATATTGATATAATAATTGCAGGCAATACATCTAAACTTAGCTGGCTAACATACGTTTGATTTAAGGCAACTAACATGAACTCATCTGTTTTATACGGTTTATATTAACAACCAAAGATAAAATCTATATTATTATGTAAATTATTTAGTTTGAAATATTATGAATCTTGAAATAAAAAATGACATCATTCACCCCAGTAAGGTAAACACTTTATAATTAAATAGTTTCATTTATATGTGTTAATAAAGGTGAATAAAAATCATAATTGTTAGACTTGAAAAATAAAAATCCATGCCATCTATGTAATGAAAAAAAAATTAGGCATATATTTTTATTGACGGTTAAAAAAATACATAAATTGCATTGTAAGAATTCGACGTACGCTGGTCTATATAAAACAGTGGAGTCACATATATAATAAATATATAGGCCAAAGTATAACATAAGTAAAATAAAACAGGCCTAATTAAAAAAAACAAAAGAGAACATGACACGTTTTGTATTCATCCTAATTCAGAGCTGAAATTGGTATTTATAGCCAGGTAAACTTAGATGCAATTAATAAGCCACTGATTATACATTTTACTTAATATACTGTGCTTATGACTGTGTAGCTTATTAGAACAAGCTATTCTGCTAGACTGACCAGACTTAATACTGCCATGGTTTGAAGTTTTTTTTAATAACAACGGCTAACAACTAGATTGAATAGGTAAACTTATAAAAAATAATGCTAACGTAACCATACCAACCATAGTTGTAACTAAAAACTATATTTATATTTAAAAAAAAAAACATTTTTATAGGAACTGCATGTCATATAATAATAATAAATAATAATTAAGTTTTTATTTCTTTCCACAATATTAACATTACATAATAAAATGATTTAATTATTTATAAATTCAATTAATTTTAAAATTATGTAGAATATTATTACTTTGATTTTATTGTAAATACGATATGATAATAGAATTATTAAGTAAGTTAAGTAATAATTAATAAGTAAGTTTCGAATAGTGACAAAAAAGCGCTTAACGCCTTTTTTTTAATGTTCTCATAATTTCTATTACATGCTACATAATATATAGTACCTGTACTGTATATAAACTACTATATACCTGTAATGAAATAATATAAATAACATAATTTCAAAACTTTATTTAATTCTAACTAAACTTCTTAAATTCATAAAATAGGTGTAAGTCAATGTTATCATACTTATTAAAATAACCATATTAATTACTTACATATTATCGGCTTTTTGATATTGTGGCCATTGCGCATTGAAATTTTAATCTTTTTTATTAATTAATTATCGGCCAATTATTTTATTAACCCGTGCTTTTAACGCCATTTTGGTTTTAAAACACATCTATGAAAGTACAAATTACAATATTATAATGATTACCTTGGGGCTGATTTTTCAAAGGATAGATATAAGTTATCTGGGGAATAATTATGATGCTGTCGCGTCAGAATGTTTGTATAAGACAGTGACAGCAACAATTTGTGTCCTTACATAACATTTATCTGACTACTTATTGAAAAATCAGCCCGTGGTTGTTTAGAACTTTATTTATTAGAAAAAAAAATTAGCTTATTGTTATTAATTTGGTTCTATTAAAGTCGGTTTTCTATAAACGTACTTTCATAGATATGCTTTTAATCATAATTTTTGAATTAATGTGGAAATTGGTTGGATGCAGGCGGAGATTGAGAGGATATTTGAGTTGGCTCGCACGCTGCAGCTTGTGGTGTTGGACTGTGACACCATCAACCATCCCTCGCAACTGGCCAAGACTTCGCTGGCTCCCACCATCGTGTACCTGAAGATATCCAGTCCCAAGGTACGTCCAGTTTTCCCAGTATTCCTTACTGTCTGTCAGAAATAAATGTCTATCAGGTCAATTAGAGTTGCTACCTCTTCCTGGAAATATTTTATTAGAATTTAAAATGGACGACGCTTTCATATAAAATTGGAGGTGACAGTTTCTTACAAGAAACAGCATGACGATTGAATTGGCAATGCCTATTAAGGGGGAAGATAGTTAAGTTGCCTCAAATCGGAAAAGGAGGATACTCCAAGCAAGGATAATGGCCTGGCATGCAACTACCCCTCATTTGTACGTCAGGATTTATCCATGTTTAGCCATACTGATGGCTAAACATGGATAAAAAAAGCTACTGAGCTTTTTGATCGTAGATCTTGTATATCGCCACACTTATCTATGTTATTTGAACAATACTGATGAAACTGTAACAACTCTAAACCCGACAATCTGAATGGTGTTTTCCACCATTGTACCACCAGAAAACATCAAAACGTCATCGCTTCATGGTGGATATCCCAACCACACGCACAAAGCGTTTTTTTCGCCTCCAGTTTTATTATCAGAACCGCGAACAAATGAAATTCTCGCGGTCTGTGTTCCCCGAAGAGTAAACGTACTTCAAGGCGCAAGCGTGATCCATCGTAGGTTGCATCATTGCTTAACACCAGGCGTGATTACACCCAAAAACTCTAAATCATCAACTTAATGCCTTTCGAAATAGGGTGCTATATATACTGTATACTCTGTATACTTTATTTCGAAGTCATGTTTATTTGCCCATCACTTCCAGGTGCTACAGCGACTGATAAAATCCCGTGGGAAGGGGCAGACAAAGAATCTGTCGGTTCAGATGGTGGCGGCGGAGAAGCTGGCGCAGTGTCCGCCAGACATGTTCGACGTTATATTGGACGAAAACCAGCTCGAGGATGCTTGTGAACATATTGCTGAGTATTTAGAGGTAAACAATTGATCCTTGTATTGGTTTGGACTATATTTTCTATTCCGTGGTTTGTATTAAATTCCAAATTGATAGTCATATTGACATACAATCATTATATGGTTTGAGTCTGTGATTTGGTAGCTACATTAAAAGAAGTGACCGTTTGTAATTAAGTTACTGCACTTTTTAATCATAGCCTAATTCTGAAGTCTTATGGTTGTAAGAATTAGTAGGATTCGGACTTATAATATGCTTGCTGAATACTCACATTCCGCTGTACTCAGCTAAGACTTAGCAACGCCCTCAATATCATCCCCATCCTATTATTTTGTCTCTGCTAAAAAAGGCATATTCTCTCAGAATGACCCTTAATCACCATAAGTTATGTTGATATACGAATAAGAGTAGCATTCCCAGCGAGCGTCAAAAGAACCATTAGACCATCATAGGCCCAACAGGGCTGATGTTCAGCCGGGGTTGTGGGGCAAGCCCAGTCAGGTACCGCGGCTTTGGCATTAAGCAGGAGAAGGTAGGTTAAGGAAGGTGGTTTTAAGTCAGTATGAGTCCGACAATCTCTCGCCTCATCCTGAGCGAGATAAGTTATTTGTCAATTTCCCCCCTTTAAAAAGAAGAAACCTTTCTCACATTTGTACTTGCAAGATTTCGAGCAACATCTTACTTGAGAGGGGCCAGTCTTGAGTAGGTATAGGTACTTGGGAAAAATATTTCGCATCCAAGTTCAGATGGAAATATGGTATTCAGTTTGACTAGTTTATAGAACTAAAAGTAATGTATGTCGGTGTCGCGGCAGGCGTACTGGCGCGCGACGCACCCGCCGGCGCACGAGGACAGCGCGCCGCCGCGCGCCGCGCACCTGCCGCGCGCGCATGCGCACCACGCACACGCCATGCCCGGTGAGTACATACACCACGCACACACCCACACAACACACTACTACTACCTACTCACCAACACTCTTTCTAACACTCACAATGTCGGAGAAAATAAATAAATGAAAATCATTTATTCCAACTAAAGATAATTTTGAAAAGTCAAATCTAGGTATTTAATGCTAAAAACTTGACCATATTCAATTTTTTTCTATATTTACAAACAAATAATAAAATTGCCATAAAGCTGGAAATAAACTCTGTAAAGTGCGGGATAAAATTGATAGTTCCATTGTTTTGCTTTTGACATCAAGACTGAACGTTTACATAAATAAAGCTGGTACAAAATTTTATTTACAATTCTAATTAGTGATTTCTAACACTACATACTGTAAAGCTATTGTTCGATGTAATAACAATATTAATGTTTGCTTAATAACGTGAATATATACGATAGTCAAGTGACGATATATTTATCAAGCGCCTGATCATAAACTCTGAGCAAACAACAGTCTAGCAGCACATTTATTAGTACAGTCAGGCACTTTTATTAGTAGGCGACAAAAAATACAAATTTTGACTTTGAACAGTAATTATTTATTGTTTAGCTATTATGTCAAAGGGTTATAAATAATATGTCATATTCATTCGTCATTTTTGTAGTTACTGTTGCTGATTGATCTTTTTTTATTTTCTTACCTTCATACCAAATTTTTTTACTGGCTGTAAATCGATCAGACAAAAATTTCATAGATCCTTTTCAATATTTTTTCTTACTCATTAACGAATTTTATATCGAGAAAAACAGCAAATAGCGAATACAATAAAAAACAATACTTGTTAGGTACAAGCACGGGGTACAAGTTCCACCACAGACAGACACATTTTACAATTACTTCAGAATCGAAAATTGTACAAAAATATCTATAGAATAAATCACACGAATACAAAATGTTAAACCTACTATGTATATCTAAGTATATGACCCCTGTGTAACCGTGTACTGCGTTATTTTGAACCCCCTGCTAACACTGGAGGACACCGCGAGAGGTCCGACTCATATTCCTACGAGAGGGAAAGAGGTAAATTAATTACGACCAGTTAAATGTAAATTTCTAAATATTTTAATTTCAGAACATTTTTACTTTTTAAGAGTTAAACAAAAAGAAACTCTTTACTTAAAAAAAAATGATGACTTGTCGCACATACATATAAGTAGTGCTACATAATATCGCTCCTAAAACATTTCTCACATTTTTCATATTATATGTCACATAGTTTTTAGTTCAGTAAAATAAATAGTTGTTATCATAATCGTTTACATTTTGCTCATTTTCTGTCTATCAATGTCTACTAATATCTAAAGTACAGTCAGAGACTTTAGAGCAAACTCTACCTATTGTCCTTGACTGTACTTCAACGTAGTTTGCATATGACTATCAATACCTAGAGATAGAGTATAATGCTTCATGAAAAGATCGATCCGAAATGTAGTTGAATCTCAAGGTCATATGGTCAAATGTGCCAAAATTGTGATTATATGCAAACTACGTGAGACATAGATGTTGTAGTAGATGTGGTCCCTTCCCTGCAGTGGTGCCCCTCGACTGACCCTCCTGTTCATTTCAGTACAAGCGTCGGGGCAGGCCCACTAACAACCGAGCCGAAGACTAAATTCCAGGTGTTTATTGTCAGACGCACCGGCCCCCGTCCAGGTTGCATACAATTTCTAGCGGCCCCCATCCTCCTAACCGCTTGTCGCTTCAGGGTGATGCTTCATTAACCCCCAGAATCCAACAGCTGGTTGAAGCTGCTGGGTTCTGTCAGCTAATCCATAACAGCGGTTCAGAATGACGCTAACTGTAATGCGTTTTAATAAGTTTGAAATCTTTGAAGGTATATCGTTTAAAATATGATCTGCAATACCCGTCTCGAGTAGACGCACTTTACCAATAAACAAGAAGTAAATTTTGACGACAACCAGTGAACGATATGATACATTTGACTTGATAAAACCTTCCATAATTGTGCGTCCCTACCTGCACATCCCTCATTATACCCGTGATCTACCCCTTTCATCTCCACCCAATTCGCTGTAACAACTCGTCTCGATCGTCCGTCACGCACGCAGCAGATCAACTTTCATCAAGCAAGATATTTTCCCAAGGCGCAGAACGGTTTATCAGGCTTGTAGTCTGCAGCATCTCAAGTAAATTGTTCCGCAGCGTCGCCGTCCCCCCTCCCCGCGGCCGCGCAGGTAGTCATCCCGGTCCCGGGTAAAGTGCGAGTTAATTCTGGTGGGGCCATCACGCAGATGTCCCACGACCTTGTAACCTAGCAGTAAGTGTGGGTGCCCCCTCCCCGCCCAGGAAGTCGGTCCTAATAAGTCCTCGCCTAGTGTGATGTGTGTGCTCCTCGATCGAAACCCTGATCAATCCAAGGGCTGAATAGACTTCCAGGGCCGTCGTCGTTCCGATCTGAGTTTTTGTGTTCTTTGTTGAGTTTGTTAAAAGAGTGAGTGTTGATTTTGAAGGATTTAAATAGTTTTATTTCATTTACAAACACCGCAGAGAAAGTACCTACGTTTACAAGCATGTGTTACGGTCTGCAGGCGGCAGGTCCCGCGCGACGCGGCCGGAGCGCCTGGAGGAGGAGTACTACCCGCGCGGCGGCGAGCGGTACGAGCGCGGCTACCCGCGCGAGTACCACGACTACGGGCCCGAGTACACGCGCGAGCGGGCGCAGCCGGCGCACGCAGGGGCGGCGCACGACGCGTACGGCCACGACTACACGCGCGACTATGCGCGGGACGCCTACTCGCGGGATGAGTATGGGCGCGAGTACGCGCGCGATGAACGGCGCCGCGACCGTGACCCGCCGGACGACTACGGGCCGTCGCGCCGCGCGCTTAACGCTGTGTAACCGCGCCGCGCCGCGGCTTACGCCGGCCGCGCCACACTGCCCCGCTGCGCCGCAGTAGCCGGCAGCGCGCCGCAGTGCGCCGCGTGGCGCCGCCGGCGCTGGTCGCCGTGCCGCGTCTCGCCGCGCCGCCGCTTCTCGCGGCGATTGTATAAATTTTACATACTGAAGAGGGAGCTAAGTTTAGTACCGTTAGATATTATCCGTTTCCCATTTTTTGAACATACTCTGTAATTATATTGCATCGTCTGTACTTCATTGTTGCAATCATTTGTAAATAAAATACTTTATATCGATGACGGAGGTTTCCTTTACTTGTCTACAAAAATACAAGTCACAATAAATACCCGTACAGAAACTTTTGTTAATACCTAATCACTGTAGCATAAACTTTTGTTTGTACCTAAACCTATGATTGTCTTTCCTGCACAATACTGTCTGGTAGGAGGACGGCTTACTCACGATTATAATCTCAATCCTGAATGTTAGTACGATATTAAGTCATCCATTAAAATTAAATTTTAAAGAACTAGAACAGTTTTGTATGTACCTATCGTATCCTAGCCCACCCTATGTACTTTAAAACAATCAGTTGCTAGCTAAAAAATCACTGACTGACTTACTTTGACTGACTTAGAAACTTTATCCCCTAAACGCGGCAGAAGGTTGGCACGGAAGTCTTTAGAACCAACTGATAGGTGAAACTGTGTAGGTATATAAACGTGTAAGTATAAAATATCAATAATTTGAATTTTACTATAAGTAGGTAGCTTTGCTTCGCCCTGGTCCAACTTAGAAAGTTACGCTAATTTTTAAAGAGTTCAGTCTTAGTTAGGCGAATAAAATAAAACGTCGCTTTTCAAAAACATATCGCTTTTTATTAGATGTGTTTGAAGTAAATTCGATGATGTTCAACATGTCAATGGGACCCGTCAGGGTTGCCATATTAAATAAATTAAACATTAAAACGCGTAACAGTTGTTAAATAAATCTAATTCTTCATAATATTATCGCTCGCGTGCCTCTTTGGTGTCTACTAGCTAATTAATACAATAATTATATACATTCTCATAGAATTAATTACATTTTAATAGTTGCAACATTTTATGAATTTTCTACAAATACATAAATTAAGGAATAATCCAGATTTCATATGTTTCAAAAATATGTGTAGTTTGATTGTCTCAAGCAATAAAAAGTACCCTCACCAGAACGATTGCTACAGGTACAAAATAGCTATTTTAGCTTTAAAAATCTTATGGATTCAGGTTTTCGTACACAAACAACGATGTTTGTTTCGTTAATATTAAAATAATAGCATTGAAGGCATCATACTTGGCTACATCTCAAATATACAAAATATAGGCACCACTTACTTCCAGCAGCGCATTGAGTAATACAATGGCAAAAGCTATGACCGTCTTAAATACTATCAATTCAATTGTGACTTCATTTAATTAACATTATAAATGTTCCTGTATTTATTTTCAAGTCATATTTACTGGTATCGTGGTACTCCAGTCTGGATTATTCCAGGTACTTCTGAATACTGACAATATTCTGGAGCTTTCTATGACTTATTATTTTACTGCCTCATTAGGTTAATTACAAACATTATTGCAACAACTCTTTGGTTTCACACTCACTGAGAACCCTAGCTGATTGAAACTACTCATCGGAGATTCTTATAGGAAAAATCGTTTTAGACACAAAGCCATGTTCCTAAATACTTTAGAGCTTAGATCAAATTCTCAAATGCCACAACGATTCACTCCGTTCCATCAGAGAGAGCCCAAAGCTTACACCAAACACCTCAGCAATCCATAATCCATATTTACACTTTACACAAAACTGTACGTTATTTACACTTCACAAGAGTCGCTTTCTCACTATTCCATCCAGGTGCTTACGGCCTTTGGCGCGGCACTTTAATCGTCTAAACCTGGCTAAGTACACGGCTAGTCAGATGTACAAATAGTCATTCTTGGTTTCCCTACAGTAGCTGATGCTGGGGAACTTGTAGACGGGGCTATATCTTTTCTTCTCGCCTTCAGCTTCGAGGGAGAGAGCTGACAGTGCTCTGGAAGGTTCCTCGTCTTCGGAGGGGATTTCTTCGGGAGGAGGTAGACTCCGGGGCGGAAGGGGAGGTGCTCTCGGATTCCTCCGTACCCTGAAGTGACAGTCGCTGTCTACAGGCCAGGCGCGCTGTACCATCAGGGGAAGGTCATCAGGGTGTAATTTACGCTCGTACTCCTGCGAGGGACTGACCTGAAATAACAAATTATTTTGATAAGTTATAGATCAAACTATACGTACAAGGTATCAAATAAGATAATGTGCTTAAAGTAAGGTAACTTGATCACGAAGCTCATAACAAAAAAATACAAAAGATAAGGCAACATTTCAATATGTCTTAAACAAAAAATACAAACCTCATAGAGCGAGAACCTCTCGACACCCTCAGTGGAATCATAGCAGTGTAGCAAGATCGCCAGGACCTCGTCTGCCGTGGTCCTTTCGCTGGTCAGGAGGCACTTGTACTGCGAGGAGGACATCAGCGCCGAGTCGTAGATCTTGATCAAACCACCAGGACGCATTTGAAGTTGGAACCTGGAAATTGACAGACAAAATGCTTAGATTATGTTTGATACATAATAAGATAATATGTTTTCTTAAAAAAAAATAGAATGAACTTATTTAATTCATTTACATTTACCGGTAGAACCAATTGGTCTTTTAGTACGCGGGATGTTTGTTAATATGCGTATATTTTTTTATTTCTTTCCATAGACTCGGCAAAATAAGCAGTATTTCATCTCTTTGGCGAGTATTCAATGCAGGCGTATTATATTGTCTACAAAACCTTGCTCACCGAATAGATAATTCTCACGGCTCGTTCTGTGGCTTAACTAACGAGCAATATAAGATTTTCTCAGTGTCCAAGGCTATTCTAATGTTGAGGATAACGGGAATTTGTATACACAAATGAAAAATAGTATTTACAGCATCCAAAAAGAAGGTAATATTTTAATTCTATTCAAAACGTTTGATTACTTTTTGTAAATGAAATCAATAATCCAATATATAAACTCGAAAAATAATAATGACGAGAAGATCTTGTAAGCCATATCGACTACTCATCTTACAATAACAATGGCTTACGAAGCTCATAAAGTGTAATTAAAACTGCCATAAACCTAGTAATACATTTAAAAACATATTGCTCTAGCCGTGGTAACGACCCATTTCTCACTGAATAACAACTAAAAGTGATCCGAGCGATCTACTTCTAACTGTCAACACACAGTAACGCGATACATATGGTCAATAAAGAGCTAAGAGGACTCTTTTAAAAGTTTTTATAATTTTTATAGACGCCATCTTTGCCGGACGAGAATAGCTCGTGCCGGAAGAAGGGACAAAAGTGGATCTTTTTCGGTCCGCCGGCCGGTGGTCCCGGCGTGTACTGAAGGGTTTTCTGTTGACCGATCGTTGGTTAAAAATAAAAGTTTCTGGTGACTGAAAGGGTTTTGCTGATTTTGTTTTGAGTATTGTTTATTTGGTTACAAGTTCCAAATACCTTAAGTTCGTATAATGTCACGCGTAGAACTCGGTGCGAATTAATAGAATTTCAAGAATCAGTTATCATAAGTTATGTTTTAAAATAATCTCTCTAGAAGATAGTCCTTCCTCAATATTGCTACAGTAAAACCTAAAAAAAATGCAAAACCTATCCATACTTAAACTGCAATAATTTCATTTAAAACAATACTTATACTTACTTCGAATATCCCTTTGGATGGCACGCCTGCAGCGCTGCAGGCCTTGCATCATCGTCTAACACCAACGTGGTCCTTAGCCCCGCGGCCCTCACTCTGACTTCCATGCTGAGGTAGAACAGCCTCGGATCTCTGTGCCTCATACGGAACTTGCCCAGGAGTGTGGAAACCACTTCCTGCGCTCGAGTACCCCACGTTACTGACAGCGTTTTGTATTCAATGTCCGGCCTGAGGCAGCGTGCATACACTTTTATCGTCGTCTGTGGACAAAACAAAAAAAAATTATAAGTACTATAATTCGGCTATGTAAAATTTTAGAACAAAGGACCACGCTAAGCTCGCTTATCAGCTCAAAAGACCAAAACATTGTTAAAGGAACGAAAACTAGAGATGATATATGTGACTGTACGGTTGGCGCAGTGGCTGGGCTAATTGCTACCGCACAGTGTGTCGCGGGTTCAAAATTATATGTTTGTAAACGCACCCACGACACAGGAGAAAATCCTAGATTGGGCCAGAGTTTGAACAGTTTAATTTTAATTTACAAACAATGTGAAGTTACTGTTGATACGATCTTGAGAATTTTTGGTGACACCGGATGATTTCCACTTTTGAATGGCCTCCCCTGTGCAGGGGAAACAGGTGGATATTGCCACGGTTGGGTGACAGGGTGGGTGTAGTAACTATAATCTTGATTTTATTACAAAAATATGGGGTTGATCTGACCTTCCGGTCTTCATATTAGTTAATTACTAGCGACAAGAACGGGATGTAAATAATTAAAATAACGTTGTCAACGTTTCCGCGTCTCTTGACTAAGAGAATGAAAAATATAGTAACTAAGTTCTTGTTCTTACACCCGGTTTCTGAAAGGCTTGTCAACGCTAAAATTAACTAATCTCCTGTTAAATCTCTTGTCAAGTCAACTGATTGGTTGTTGATAATTCAGTCAACCAATCAGATGACTTGACAAGAGATTAAATTGATTTTAACATTGATCGGCCTTTCGGAAACCGGGGATTAGTCGTTCTATTTCATAAGAATCTACATTTTGAAACAAGAACCTAGCTTCACTGATGAACAAACGGGTGGTTACTCTATTAATTTTTGTTTTGACGCTGCAAAAGTCTCCGTATATGGCTTTATAAGTAGATCCTTGACTATGACTATACACACTCAAATCCCATAAATAACCGTAGCAGTTAGCAAAAGCTAATGTTTCAGCAAAAAATGTTGGCATTGATAAAATTCAAATTTTAGGTCATAAATATGTACAACATGTAATTTCAACTGTTATTGATAAGCGCAGCAAACATATCAAACTTCCGTTTTTAGTGAGTAATCGGTTTGGGGCTTCAGCCTTGTAATCTAGGAGCAAACAGGAGATTATTCATGTAAAATATTTTAGCAAACAGATAAATTGTATATAGCAGCCAATGATATAAGAGTCACGAGGAATTTTAGCCAAATAATGTAATGGATAATGTAATTTGACGCAAAATTCAAGTTGAATGAATTTCTTCAAGGTTTATGAGTTTCAGGTAACAAAGTACAATACACAATTAAGTCTGTACTCGTGCATAATTCGAGGAGTAGGTAACAAGTTTTGCGGAAACTAAAAGTCGTTTTAAATGATAAACACTCTACTTAAATAATATTGGAATAAAGCATTTTCGCAGTATCGATACCAACTTCAATTTCAGAACTGTAGATTATTTTCTTTGAAAAAATATCTGATAAAGAAGAATCTGAGACTTTGAGCAGCTATTCAGCAACCAATCCCTATGAAACTCAAAAAGAACCGCTAAACAAATCGCGGGTACACAGCAAAGTACAGTAACTAACGACCAATAATATTATTATACTGTGTAACAGAATGCAAAGATTGCAGAATATCCAGTTCCCACGCGAGTTGTTCACACCGCACAATAAGAACAAATAACACAAAAATATGATGAACTGTAGTCACTTCGCAATATTAAAATAATGAAGGATTTGTTGTAAACGACTCACATGAATATTATGGGGGTGCAGCGCAAGACGCATGCGCGGGGCCGGGACGGGCGCGAACGCGGCCATGACACGTGCGTACGAGTCGACGCGCGGGCGATACTGAGCCTTGATCAGCCTTGCATGGTTGCTTGGGTAAAGCTTTCGAGCACTACAGGGGGTTGTATTGGATTGCAAGCATCTGTCGTTTACTTCCTCATTTTGTCGATAGGGACAAGAAATGTTGAGATTTATAATGATTCAGGATGTTGGTACTGTGAGAATTTTGAAATTTGATTTTTTATTAATGAAGGTTCATTTTATTATGTGTATTATTATAGTCCGTTATGATTATGTTGTTTTATTTCACACATTTTCATTAAATAAGGTTTTTGACATTCCAAATTTTATCTTGTACAACACCCCTTAAAATAAAAAATACTATCAAAATAGACAGTAAAGTTATATAAATACATGACGTTTTTTATTTAAACATGATTAAAACAATGACTACATTAAAACATAGCACTTGCAACAAGACCTGACTTGGCGCCGGAAGCTCCCAGCCCCCACACAAAGGGTAAGTCGACACCTGTCCTGCTACGGAAACCGAACCTAGTCCCGATCGATTGTACCCACAACTTTGAAACAGCGTGTGAATGTTCCAAACACAATTTGCAAGTGGCCAGGTGGTTCAAGGACCCGAAAGTTTATCGTGGGAGAGTTTGGAACTTAATTTATGAGCTCTTGAAGGTCGTTTTATAAGAATCACTTGTTGTTTGTGTATGTATTCGTGTAAGCTTTTTTTCTAACTCCGATAAAGGGTTACTGAACTGGTCAAAGGGAAAATTCCTTGCAAAATTTTTATTCATAAAACATGCCATAAACCTTCATATCGTTATGAACCTAAACAAAAATCCGGACGGCCATTGTTCTAATATCACGTCCTAGGTTCCGAGTATCCGCAAAATTTACATACAATGCCATTTGAGAAGTCATATTAATTTAACCACTTGATATACTGAAAGCTAGATTGTTCTGAGCGAGAAGAAAGCACCGGTAAAAGTGGTCATCTTTCGTCGGCAGCCACTGAACTTGAACTGGTGACTCGACGAAGGAAACGCAAAAACTGTCACCGGACGGCCCAGGAATGCGGTACTAGCAGCCAAACCTGACCAACCTAAGTGTATCCGCGGTCTTGCACGAAACTAAGTACGCCCTTATAAATTGTAAGGTAAGCAAGACTTCCAATGGCGCGGTAAGTGTCAAGTTAGCTTGGCGCGCGACAGGTTAGAAAATGCGGTGATAAAAAGTTTTATACCGCGGATTAGACATCCTTGTTACAAGGCTATTGGTTATGGCCATTTGTTAGTGCATGCTTGAATTTTAACGAGCAACACAACTTGTTCGTTCCAATCTCCTGTTCCGTTGTCAACATAAGAAAATGTCAAAACATCCGCTTTATTTTTATTTCTCTTCGTTTTTTCAAAGTTTTCTTGGACAACAGTGAGTAAGATTAACTTCTTATTTTAACTCTGCATTTTTAAGATATTATTAAAAATATTGTAAGTAAGAATCATTTTGAGCAAGAAAATTATTTCAATATCTAAAACCCCTGTTTATAGCTCTCACAACAATCATCAAAGAGCAACTATTTCATAAGAATAGGTCCCAAAAGACCGATAATGGTCCTTTACCTCAAATTGCTCATAATGTGACCACATTGTCCGCAGCACTGACTCTCGCGCCGACAGTGACGCGCACAAGCGCATGCGTAATACGCGTTACTATAACATTGTTAACATAGTTTGTACGAGTTGATACAGATGGCGCTATAAGTATGTTTATTAAGATGGACAGTTTGATGGATGAGCATTTCAATAGTAATTGATAATGATTGACATAAGAGAATTAAGTAGATATATGTAATAATATGATATCACCATGTAAGTAAAAAAAACTTAAAATTTAATAAAATTATCGATGCTAAAGACTATTTAGGAAACAGTTGATAAATAACATAACGATGAAAGTTTAAAGCAAAGTTGTGTCGCTAACGAAACAGTTTGTTCTGCCCACACGCAGGTCTTATAAGACGCGGGTACAACACCTGCAGTACTGGTAGGCGTTTATTACAGCCAGTGTTGTAATGGGCGGCTTTATTGAAGGTAGTCGTTAGTTGTTAACCACGAACTCGCACACGCACCTTTAAAACTAAACTAGATAGGTAGGCAATTTCAAAAAAGGAACGTCATTTGTAGCCGTGAAATATTATAATAGGTAATAGTAAAATATCTTTGAATACATCGAAAATGTGTAGACAAAACAAAAGAGGCACACGTAAGAACTAACTAATAATGACTATTATTTTCGAAAACCTACTAATAACCTTACAGCCGTAAAATATCTTTAATACAATAATCCATATTATTGTACACCAGTAAAGGTATACCTCGATCCACGTTTCGATACAATAACGGTACAAAATAGAGTTGCTGTACCCTCCGGCCACGATAAAAGTAATTTCAACTAGACCAAAACAAGCGTCGCAAACAGGATCATACTTAATACCGTTAAGAGTAATTCGGTGGACGTAATCGCACGCAAGATCATTACAAAAGTGACGTAATGCCAGTTTTTATGTATCGGAATGCGATTAACCGTTTGATATTTCAAAAAACATTCAGTACATTCAGTACAAAAACTTCTCTTTTAATTTGGATACACTTATACTAAAATCTGATAACTCTTTCGTATTTCAATTATACTAGCCTCTACCCGTGAGGATAGAGGATGCTTTTTTTACGTAAATCAAAACGCTGACCAACCAAAACAAAACAAAGTTCATTGACATCAATTAAGTATCGTTTGTTCCCAACCCACCCCATAAGCTGAACTCACAAATATTACGGCACAAATTGACGAGACAACAGTGGTAAGTGAGCAAACATCCGTTTGATGCGCACGAGTCGGGAGTAAATGGGCGCCGCACGCGCTGACCGTCCCCTAGTTGAACAAAGTAGATTTTATATTACTTTTTCTCTCCTTTTAAGCTACTCTGTCAAAAAAGGCAATTTATAGCTACTTTAAAACAATGGTGGATTTTAAGTCGACTTAGATTGACTTACGCCATGTCTTTTTCATAATAAACTGACTCCTAAAAAAATACTGGTACGTATTATAATTTTACGTTGTATCTCTTGAATTACTTCTGAATATTTGCAATACATTTTTTCTTCAATTTAATTTCAAATTACGCAAACGATCTGAA